AAAGGTGGAGGGAAGACTTTGAATTTATCAATACAAACCAAACCTCATGGTACACCAGCACTGACGGCCGGAAGAAACTTCCGTTTAAGTGCGGATGATTCATCAGCCTGTAGGGAATTTTGATTGGTCAAAAATAAATAAATTAGCCTGGAAAATCAATTAAAAGCTTCCAAACGTTTAAATGTTAAAAAGTCTGTTCTTAACTGCTGGGACTTCTTTTAATTATTGGAGTGTAAAATAAACCATTTCATGCAGATATCAGGTTGAGAGAAATCTGTGCTGTCATGATGATGAAGCTCAAGTCAACATGGACAGCTTTTTCTGATTCATCAACACCTCGGCCCACAAATGTCCCTGCGTAAGAAGTCAAACACGACCTTTTCATGACTTAATCCTTGATGTACTGAGAAAGATGATTGTCTCAATTCTCTGACTTCAAGCCAAGGTTTAGTCCTTAAGCTCTGAACTCTTTAAGGTCCTAAACTGGAAGCCCCTTTTTTTTTTTTAGATTAAGGGGTGTAATTAGTAATTGTTTTGCTGATGAAGATTCTCAGTCATCCTGGTCATTGTCCTCCGCAGTGAGTTTGAGTGCAGATCCAGACATTTGAATTGAGAAAGCTTCCTGGAGAGGTGGCGAAACGTCTTCAAATCTTGGAGACCAAGTCCAGTGGATTTTTTTGAACTTTTACGGAATAATAATAGTTTTGTATCGATATATCGATCCAACAGCCAACGATCCAATGCATCGACACGTCCGCAAGAGTATTGATTCATGTTTTTTTTTTTTCTTCTGGTCTGTTTTTTTCCAACTGCTCCTGGACGTAATTCTGACTCCAGTTCTGCGGTGGCGCTAAACCTATTTTGCCCTCCTACCTTGCTTCCTTTAGCCACTACCCTCCTTCCGTTTGCACACACACACTCGCGTAAACAAAGAGGCATTATTATTTTTCAGTGAATGGGGTTTACATAGGCCTAGGTGGAGTACAACTTTCCTACTTCTTTTATTTGCTGTTGTTTCTCAAATAAAATGCATATTACAGCTTTCTTTGATTTACTTCAAATTTGAAAAATAATTAAACAATTAATCAAATCGAATCGTATCGTATCGTGGTATCGTTGGGTCAGGAAATTGATACTGAATGGAATCGCCACGATGGATGTGATTTACCACTATTTAGATTTAGACTCAACTTTATATATCCCTAGGGATTACTCCTTCAGGGAAAATCTGGATTTCCCTAAAGGAGATTGCAGAATTAATATGTGCCGGTTGAGCGACTAAGTCTATAAAGAGTCAGCAAACAAAATGACTTCAACAGAGAATATCACTGATGCAAAAAAATGAAATCTAACTAAGTCATTTCTTCTTAAAATATGTTCATTTTTTCTTGAATTAAGGATTTAAGTGAGACACTTTGCCAATGGAACAAGACAATTTCACTTAAAATAAGAAAAAACAATTGCATTGTCTTATTTCAAGTGCATTTTATCTAGATACCTTATTTTAGAGTAAAAATACTAATTCCATTGGCAATTCATCTTATTTACCTGCTCAAATTAAGGGTAAATACCTTTAATTTAAGAAATTTTTACTCATTTTAAGATAATTTTTGCAGTGTACATGTTTACAGCAGACAGATGCTGTCTAAGGGAGCATTCAAACCAAAAGCAGATCACAAGTAGGGTGATGGAGCCCAGTGGAGATGCTGCTGTTTATTTAACGGTAACCAACAGCAAGGCGAACCATGGGAAAAATTAGACTCGTTTGACGTTAACACCTTCAGACTCGAGTCCTCGTTTTTATATCACACAAGTGTCTTCAGTTAAAGGTTGAAACATGTTATTTGATTTATATTAATCAAATATTAAAGTTAATACTAACTAATTTAGTAATGGAATCAAATCTTTAGCTGGAGTATATATTGCATATTCTGAAACAGCTGATAGAAAAACAAACAGTACAGAAAACAAAAACAAAACTGTACTTAAATATGAATGTTTTCTATTTAAAATAGAAATATCTCCAAGAATAAGCTTCTCTCTCTGATTATATATGTATAAAATCTGAGAGAAGGGAAAGACATGCAGAAGAAGTCGCGCACCAAGGACCAAAGCCTCCCTATATGGACTGTGTTCTCTACCGCTGCACCCAATTAATGTTTTGCTTTTACACTTGATTCAAAATGTCATTTTTAATAAAAAAAAACACTTCAAATCAACCATTTACTAAAATAATTGATAGCTGCTGCTCAAATTTAAAACTGTGCAGGTGTATGTTGTGTTAACACATTTGGTTCACATAAATTGACCTTTACAGCACTACATTTTATCTGGAAGTATTTAATTTTATTTTGATTATAGAATTAGTTTAGTTATAAAACATGATCCTAGTATCAAATAGAGACTTTTTCAACTGCAAAAATCATCAAACATTCTAATAAGACGATAGAAAAACCTCTGAAATCTAACCAAATTGAATCCAAACGGTTTAGAAAACAATTTAAAGCAAGACAACAACTTTGCATCCGTAATGGGACGCAATGAAACAAGGAAGGTCTTCCAAAGATGTTCCAAATACATTAATATGGGGCATTGTATACGAGTAGCAGAAAGATAAAAGTGACGGTCACTAGCTAATATCAATACATGTAGTTTAAGGTAGCAGAACAAAGGATCCATCTGGTTAAGTGCATTTCTGCAACAGAAATTTCATCAATTTCCTGCAGGGAATAACATCTTTCAGTGCTGTGCATCAAAGATGGCAATATATTAATATAATATAACAATAAACCGGGGGCAAACTCTCAGTCATCTCTCTTTTACAAGAAGACAGGAACATGTGTATTTGTGAAAAAAGAAAAAAATAATCAGATCAAATCCCAATTACAACTTCAGTATAAAAGACCAAATTAGATTTTTAACCTTCGAAACAATTTCTGATGGATGTTTAAGCAGAAAGGAAGAATACTTGTTCCAACGCCTCCTTTATAGTCATGCTTTTTTCCTCATGATCATAAGCTGCCTATAGGGGCCTGTCTGGTGATTTCAGTCGGTCGTAAACGTCCCTATTTTTCTAACTCTCCCCTAAAAAGACTAGATTTTAATACTACAAACAAGTACAATAAATACACCTAAAGATGGAATGATTACTACAAAACACTAAATACTCTACCAAAGAATCTACAATACAATACAATAAGCACAAAGCAGAATCAATTAAAGGGTATAATAGTTTAGTTACACTTTGCATTTACAGTAGCTACACTTCCTCTTCTTCTTCCTCTTCTGTGAGGACTTGTTTGAAATCTGAACTGCGTTGAATGTGTGATAAAGGTAAACCTGATAGACAAAGAGTAATTAGACCCCAAATCACTTTATTTTACGGATATACTGGGGTAAATCTTCATACTTTGCTAATCTTAAAGGTAGCTTAAAGTGGTATTAAAGCCAGGAATACACTGTGCGATTTTTTCAATCGTTGCATGCAGCTACAGCTCACACTGTATGACGAAACGGCAGGGTTTCATCGTACAGTGTGAGTTTACAGCTCACGATGCATGTTAAGCCCGGCGCTTTCTGCCTGCTCACGCTGTACGTCTAAAACCATGTCGGACTCAGCTCAGCAGTGAGATGGAGCAACTCGGACTCGTCTACCTGGAAGCAAACTAGTAGAAGAGGAATACGAAGCTCACTAGAGTGAAATACGCTGCCTTGGCAATTTGTGTAATTCTGTGCTGAAAGCCATAAAAAGAAAAGGCAACGATGTTTTCAGACAAAGACATGGCTGAGCAAACGTAGCTACTACGGTCCGTCAATTTTACAGAAGGAATTCCATTTCACAGTACCCCCGCCATGCTGCTGCGTTTACATCTGCGAGGAAAAAGAAGAATCCTTGTTTGCACATGTGCACTGAGCGATGTTTGATTTTCTCCTGGCCTTACAATTCCTGATCAGGAGGTGGTCGTTAGAAGCTGATTGCCCCTCATTACCCTACACTACAGGCTGAAAGTTGGCCCGATCGAAAAATTCTTGCACTTAAAGGTATCTTAAAGTGGAAGATTTTCGCCATTTTTTCTAAAAGACCCACACTTTCCACTTTAAATAAAAAAAATGCACATGAACAACCCTGTATCTGCTGCCGAGAGGGGAGCGAGAGCATGAACAAGCCCATTTCTCCTTGTGCACGCTCTGTTTAAAAGTTGCTGTTTGCATCACTCATACAAGCTTACTTTTCAAAAGAAGATTTGCAATTTTTCCACTATGTCAGACTCACCACCGGGAAGTGAAAATGGGGATGAGGATAGCCTTAAGTAAACATATCCCCAGAATGATTGGGAGTTAGGAGAACCACTTATTTTGATGATCCACCTGGAAATAGAACATGGTCCACTATACTTATTACCACTATACCTAATACACTGTACCTATTTACCATTTTTAGGTAAACATGTTTCACCTGTAACATTTGGCCTAAAACTGTTTACTGTTGCCCTCTAAGGGTTGAAACGAGCTACTGCAGTTGACTTAACCCATTTGTAAAAACGTCTACATCAAAGCCTTGTGTTCAGGTATAGTTGTGCATTCAACTTAAGCCAGGACTTGGAAGATGGAGTAACTTAATATCTGATATAAGCATTTGATTTTAATGCTTGTGGATGCTCATGTATGCTTACTACGGTACTAACAACCACAGTAATAAAACAACAAAACAAACAAACTAAAAACGTGATATTTTGACTTTCAAGAACTACGGTAACACCTCATTACCTAAAGTTATCCTATGCAGAAACACACTACTGGTGGAGGGAGATGGAAAAACAAGCTGCAACTGAAGTTTTTCAGGCAAGCTGTGAGCGGTGTAAACTTTCAATTGTAAAAAAAAAGCTGCGCTGCTCATGGCATGCGCCAAAAAAGATGTTCTAAAAGAGAGCAGAAAATGGGAGGAGCCTCAGAAACTGTTATATATTAATGATGCTTGAGAACATTTGTCAAAGCCTCACCTGTCAGGATCGGCCTGTGTGATGTCGATGCGAGGCAGAGAGGCAATAGGCAGGCTTGTAGGTCTGGTTCGGGTCGCGGGATCATCCTCTGGTGTCACTGGTCTGCCTCGGTCCCTCTCCTTTTCTGCCTGTCGCCAGGACAGCGGTGGCAGCTGCAGGTTACCAGAAAATCGGCGGTGTACTTTGCACACCTCCACACTGAGGGTGCTGCTGCTGGAATATTGTCCAACAGGAATCTCTGGATTCTCCTACAGAAACACAAGATTATTTCAACTTCCACCTTTTCCAGCAATAATAGGAATTAAAATAATTAGATTAGAGTTTAATTAGAGGAGCTGATGGAACAAAAATGATGCAGAATGCAATAAAAAGGGAAAAGTACACAAAGAGGCATCGGGGACAGTGGAGGACAATTTACCGAAGAAAAACAAATTGCTGCTTAGAGACTCAAAGCAGCATAAATATTTGGTCAGTAACAAAACAATCTGCCTTCCCCGTTCACAGCTGTGGCGACACTTATCCTTTATTGCTTTTCACCACAGAAGAATAATGGCCTCTTTCATCCACTTGACACCTGAACTGCCAATTGACATCTTTATGAAGCAGCGGCGAAGATAAATCGTGTTTATAATGTAAGCGTTCAAGTAAGAGGCCCAAAGGGCTGCTGCTGGAACCATGGACTGTAAACAAGCCAAAGCAGCAGGGAAACAGGGGGGGAGCTGGCACACCTCATTTCCTTCCACTTTATGTTCACCGCATGCAAGAGGAAATCAGACATGGGAAAAGGTTTCGTGAGGTGGAGGCTTGATGACGACAAACAGGGAGAGGGGAGGAATTCCGTTAGGGAGGGTAATGCAGGCAACAAATTGTTAATTTTTCACTGGTGCAGGAGAAAAGAGGATGAGGATGTGAGAACAACAGAATCTACCAGCTATCTGAGAGGTAGTCACAACTATTCCCCATCCTGGACGCACTAATCAGGATTTACTTTATCCCCAATATCACCTTCAGTCATTTCAATTTGCATTTACCAGATCAGTTTAATTAAAATATTACACCAAAGCTCCTGAAATCAATACCAGGCACGTAACTGAAAACAAAGTAGCTTAAAGTGAAATAAAGTAACGGAATACATTTTACTTTTATTATTGTCCACATTACAATGGTTACCATTCCCCCTTCCAATAATTTTCATGATGGTAAAATATGGATTTTACATGACAAAGGTAGATACAAATAAAGACAAACTATACTTTCCAACAGCCTTAGCTAACAAATGGACGGATATATTCAAACATCCATGCTTTCTAGATAAAAGTTATAGTGGATAAAATTCTTTCCGGTTTGAGTTTTGGGCAAACATCTTTTCCATTGTCATATTCTTTCATATTCTTTCATATATTCTTTCGATAATTATTTTCGATTAATTGATTAATAATCGGATAGAAAAAGGTTCCTTATTGAAGACTTTTTACAAAATTAAATCGGGTGAAAATAAAAACACTTGAGGAGATTGATAGACAAAAATAGTTTTTGTTGAATGAAAAATTTGTACTTTTTTTTTTTTTTTTTTTTACAATGTTGGTCTAATTACTGCTCTAAGTGGGTTTCTATGTCAACTAGAGGCATGTTTTAGAGTCTCTATAGTCCAGTTAATGATTAATCGATTACTAAATTAGTTGACAACTATGTCAATAATCGAGTAATTGTTTCAGCCCTACAGATGATTATCTTTTTTACATTTTCTGATTTTCTCGACTGCATTTCATCATACTTGTCCATAACTTAAACAACTTAGTTTAGTTAGGTTTTACTTTAACCATCTTTTGACCTGTAAACTGACTCAGAGCCCATCTGCTTAACCATTTCCTGGAATTGTTCTCTCCACTGTCACTGCATGCATGTTTGTTTTAACAAATCAGTCTGATTTAATTGGACTGATTCCTTAAAGTGCCTTGAGTTGAGTTAAGTTGTATTTAAATAAACTAAGCTGAGAATGAACTAAATCTAAGACCAGATTTTTACCTAGAATGAGCAAAGGTTTAAAAACAAAGTTTAAAGATCTATCTAACCTCTGTTTTTGCAAGAACAAATTGTAGCGTTTGCATTGTCCTTTAAGCACTGGGATTATATTAAACTCTAACAGGCATTAAATAAAAAAACAGATGGATTTCAATCTGAAAAGCTTACACGAAGAGAAAAGACAATTAGAAGAAATTTATTGATACAATTACTTGGTTTTTAGCGCTCAGACCTCGGCAGGAAACATAGTGCTGAATTTTGCATGAATAGATATTAGGGATGGGACGATTTATGAAAACCGTCCGAACTGTTCGGTTCAACTGTCTCGGTTCGGTTCGCGTGTGTTGCGTTCGGTTCATGCGCTGCTCCTTTTTCTCATAGGCGAAGCGATTACACTCCAGAGCAGAAGGTGGCGGTACTGCGACCAAAGCCAACCACCAGTAGTAAACAAGAAGAAGAAGAAGCGAAGCAGCGTAGCCGGGTGTAGCAGAAAAAAATCAATTGTTGTGGAGAATTGTGTGGGTATGGCGAGTGGGAAAGAACAGGAGTTGGAAGACGCGCCAGCAGCACTTTATAGGTCTGCTGTATGAGACCACTTTGCATTTAGAGTGACCTACGATGACGGCGGAAAGAAAGTTGTGGATAAAAACAGTGTGCAAGCATTGTGCAACACGTTTTGTTTAACAGCAACATGACCAACATGTCATGCTAACCCTGAAATCCCTCATACTCCGTCAGCAACCCCCGCTGCGCTCCAGACCGGCTGCTCAAAGCAAAGCCTACAGCCCCCACTGTGGCTTCCGTCCGCTCCGCTCTGAGTTCCTTGGAGATGGTAGAGAGCATGCGCGAGATGATTAAATTCAAAGCAGGAAAACATACGGAAATGATCCAGGGTTTCCGCGGATTCTTTAAAATAATTACAATCCATTATTTTTTGGGGGATTTTTTCATTAATTTCCTACATTTTTGGGGGATTTCGGTGTAACAATTAACATGTATCGAACCGAACCGAAAACCGTGACCACGAACCGTGAATCGAACCGAACCGTGGATTTTGTGAACCGTTCCACCCCTAATAGATATGCATGAACAGGATAAAAGAAAAGTCCCCCCCCAGACTTGAAACTGGTGGTGGAGTGGAGATAGAGTTAGTCAGTCTTTAGACTGCTGGTCAGCGAGACGGTCTGCAGAGCTTTATGGAGAGATCCTGTGGACTGCGTGAGCTGATACTAGAGCTTCACTCAGGGACCTGGAAGATGGAAGTCCAGTTGGATAACACAGGTTGAGAGAACCTGTCCATGATGAGCAAGCATGAAGCGACAGTGGAAAGGAAAAACTCTCTGGCAGAACCATGCTCAACATGGTAGTCAACATGGTAGGTTGAAATGAGACCTGGAATGCAGTAGGATGAACTTTGGATGCCGATTGGCTTTCGTGGAGGTGTGGTTCAAAGCTGATTGGCTGTTTGGTAGGTGAATGTAGGCGAGCAATTAGTCTCTTTAGTTGAACTTCCGCCTAGGCTCCATTACTCAAATGCAGGGTGTAATATTCTACAATTATTTATTCAGACTTGCATTATTTAAGCTGCAATGCCTCATACCTTTAGTGTTTAGGAAGCTGTAGTTAGCATGGTGCCAAAGGTTTCTATGGTTAAGAAGTGAAATTAAAGACCACAGCTTCTGTTCAATAAAAGTCAAAAACAGTGAAAGAAGGGACCCACAGAAAAACATCAATTTGGCAGGAACACAAAATAGAGACTATAAGAGCAAAATGCTCTGACAGAATCAAATCATACACTGGTGGGGCTTGGAGTTTGTTTTTCCATGCTGATTATCAGTGAGGACAGCCCTGTTCACTCCCTTACCCTTTCTACTGAATGCAATTTGTCTGATTTATTGCCCCCATCTCTCCCAGACATACTGTGTCTGTAGCAGAGAATGAACATCCAGTCTGACAGAGTTCTACTTACTGATCTAAGCCTCTTGTCAAATGAAAGTTGAAAGCGGCCATCTTTTGTCAGTAATTTAGGGCTTTTGATGTTTCATTCCTAAATTATTTAGCGATTCAATATTCTTAGCAGGCATCAAAAGAGGAAATTCTAATGTTCCATTGATCCCCTCCATCCAAATTAAAATGAATTCATTTTCAGCGAAGAATTATATGTGATGCATAGCTGGGTAATAGTAGTAGTATTCTTTTTTTGTTTTACGTTTTATTTGTAATAAAGACCTTTAATCTATAACATATACATCAGAACACTAACAAAGAGGGAGTTAAATGGGGAAAACAAAAAGACTAAAAGGAAGTTGAAGCAATTGCTGTGTGATAAAAGATTTTCTTGGCACAAAAAAAAGGATACTGATCTTTGGGGCACTTCCAGGAAGGCTTTTTAAAGTCACCCTTTATAAATGAGAAAAGGAGTACGATCGAACCATCACCATGTGATGATGACACGACTCAGATTGAAATATTAACAGAAGCCGGCAGACCAAACCAGATGAAAGTGCGCATTCAGCGTCTGCTCTGCCGATAATGCAAGCGTAGAAGAAATGTGCTGTTTACCTGTGCAAAGAAAGAAACAACGAAAGAAAAATGTCTGAGGACTTCAGTGTTGAGGAAGAGCATGAGTTCTTTGCCGAGCTGAATGCGCACTTTCATCTGGTTTGGTCTGCCGCGGTTTCTGTAGCGTCGTGAACTCGCAGGCGCGCGCTTTCAGGAAATCCTATACACTACTGTTTATGCTCTAAAAACATTCTAAATGACTTCGTTTCGAGTAAATTCTGGATGCTACCCACTCAGGACACTTGGAATACATTGGACGAGCAGTATGGAGGAATATTGACACGTTTTTTGTGGATTTTTATGGACCTTTCTGTCTCGGGCACCATAGACCTCCATTATTTGAATGTCAGCAGACAGCAAGAAGCCTCCCAGATCTCCAGATGCATTTGAGATATCAAAAAAGTACTCCAGAGTGTTGTTTAGCATGGGGGTGAGTAGAAAATGAAGGCTAATCATGTTTTGGGTGTACTATTCCTTGGAAGATGAACGCTCAGGAATGTTGTTTCTGTTAATTGATTATAAAACTAATCATAAATGTCATCATCAGGCTGACAATCAGCAGGTGATTTGGTCTAATGAACAGCTCACTGCAGAGCCACCTGCAGGGAGGATAATCTAACCTGATCACATCTGAGGGGAACAAATGCAATCTCTAGGATCCTGCTCATAATCACAGTGTGCCTAAATCATCATCAGGCAGAAACCTATATAGAAGCACTATATGACCTTAATAACTGTAGAAATATATAAAACTACGAATAAACTACGGCTGAAACGATTAATTGGATTAATCATGATTAATCGATTATTGATACAATTGTCAGCTAATTTAGTAATCGATTAACTGTTAAATGGAGTATAAAGACTCTCAAACATGCCTTTAGCTGACAGAGGAACCCCATCAGAGCAGTAATCAGACCAAAATTTAAAAAAATATATATATAAACATTTTGTATATAAGATTAAAAAAGAAGTTTTCTCCTGTCAATAAGCTCTGTCCAGAACTCCTCAAGTGGAAAAATCTTAGTTTCACCTAGTTTCATTTCCTAAAAAATCTTTTTTCAGAAACCTTTTGTCAGGATTCCTGTCTGTGTATGTGTTTTTTCTGTGTTTGTCTCCCTTCCTCCACCAGGAGGCGCCTGGTTCTGGTCCGCCTCTCTACACACCTGCTGTGAGTTACCTCATTAACGGAGCATTCTAAAGCTGCTGACTGCCACTACCTCGACGCCAGAGTGTTTGCCAGTTTTGGGTACTCTAGCCAAGCTGAGTTTTGCTGAGTCAAACTGAGTTCTTGTCAACCTGAATTTTAATTCTTGTTTTGTCTTTGCCTCTCGGCAGGAAGTCATCCTGCAAACTGGATGTTTCGGACCTTCTCTCCCTGGAAGGATCATCTGAGCTTCAAACTGAGTTGAGGATTCAAACTGGAGGTTTGAATCCACTTTCCCTCAAGAGATCATTTGAGCTTAACACTGAGTAAGGGATTCATCTCCACTACGACCCATTCAAGTACCGCAGGAAATCTGAGTGGCAGTCAGCTTCTCCATTCGCCTACTTACAACCGCATTCTGGGTAAACCCTGTCCGCCCTCCATCGAATCAGACAAACACTGAAACTTCCGCACACAGACTGGAGTCTAAGAGTCAGCTACTTCTCTAGAAACGTGAGTTATCTAACAAATTCTCCTCCTCAAGTTCGAGATTCAAGATTCCTACTGAGCCTGAACTAACCGCAGTGTCTTCCCCTCACCTTTCAGTTCCAGTTGAGCAGTGCTCAGAGCAACACTGGATTCTTCAGAAACTCCTACTGTAAATAAACCTGTTAAACCTTTCCCCTGGTCTCTCTGAATTGGTCTCTCTGCATGTGGGTCCGAGCTCTTGATAAAATCATGACACCTTTGGCTATCTGGCCATTTTGCTTTATCGAAGAAAGAATCAACTGATTAAATATAATCTATCTAAATATGAAAAATAATCCTTAGTTGCTGCCCTAGATCAAACTAAAAATCGATTTCAAGCATGAGAAAAAAAAATCATTTTTAGGATTCAAGTGTTCTGTTTATTAATATACGCCTTGGTATAAATGTTTGGAGGAGCAGAGGGAGGCAAGTGGCAGCCGGGTCACTTTCATCATCAGGGTCTGGCTTGTCCTCTGAGCTCCATTTGAAAGATTTGGAATTAAATCATCTGCCTTTTTTGCTTAGTGATAAACACGAGTGACATAGAGTAGAAACAGACGGGCCTCTCTGTCAGCCTTTTGTCTTTTTTTTCTTTCTATCTATACTTCCAATCAGTCTCTGAATGTTTCCATAAAGCAGTGTCTGCTCATATCATGGTTATTGTGAGGTCTGGATGCTGTGAGTTAGCTCAAACAAAAACATTATTCCCCGTCCAAAACTGTGAATGTACACACATACACACAGGGCACGCTGTCCCTCTCTGCAGCGTGTCCTGCTGAATACCGGTCTGTTGTGAATGGTACTGTCATCTGTTGTGAATGGTACTGTCACTGTTAATGAGTCAGAAGCCACCTTCTGGACACGTTGTGCCGCACTGCCGCTGTGTTTTCCTGCTAAACCGCGTTGAGTCTGTACTTAGGGGCAAACTGGGAGGGGTGGGGATGTAAAACATTTTTAGAAGGTGTCCCAACGGGGCGGGGGGGGGATAAAATGCAGAGTCTAAAGTGGGAGAAAACCATAGCTGTAGGGTTTAAAAAATATACAAGGACAGAACAGATTGCTGTGTGGAAAATTCGGCACTTACCTCGCCTCCATGGGCACTTCTGCTTTTCTTCATCATGAGGAATTCTTAATCTGACCCACTTTGTCCTCTCTTCTCTCCAGAAATGAAACTCTTTCCAGCTCTGAACAGCTTCAACAGCACTGCAAACAGCAGACAGATGGGAACAAGGTTACAAAGTCTGTCTGCTTCAATGTTTAGGGGTGTCAGGCTATTTTTGTCACATGGGAAAATGTATATATAAGTTCGTAAAACACAACTAAAAAAACTTTGTTAAAAACTTCTACCCTATTTGTCTCTTTTTTCAGAATGGTAATCCAATATAAATTCATTACAAATGAATGAAAACGAGAATTTCAGTACGCAAGATGAACTAAAAAGGAGATTTTTAGGCAGAAATGTCAGGCGTTTGAAAAACAGTTTTATCTGGGTTGGGGGGTCTCCTTGCAGACATATAGGAAGGCCATCAGCAATATTTAGTTGATGATTATTTCAATAATCGATTAAACAGGATTAATCCAGTTAATCTTTTAGCCTTAACGAGTATAAGAAAAGCTTCTCATAATTTAATTCGGAGTTCTCATCCCAGACCCGTATAAAGATCTGTTTGGAAAAGGAAGAAACAGGAAAACATCAATGTAAAGCTCCACTCACAAACACCTTATTAACCAGCAGAAAGAAGCTGAGGGTGCTTCAACTAAATAATGTAGTTTTATATATTATTTAACAGTGAAAAGTGCACCAAATATAAGGTGCACCTTAGTCTTCCTTCTGCTGTGTAATACCAGCCGTTAAACACCCAAACTATACATCTAATGTAAATGATTTAACCGTTAATTATTAATATATGTAAATAATATTTAACACTACCACATGCATAAACTTAAATGGTAAATGGTAAATGGCATGTACTTATATAGCGCCTTTATTCAAGTTAGGAGACCTGACCAAAGCGCTTTACACTACATTCATTCACCCATTCACACACACACTCACACACTGATGGTGGCAAGCTACATTGTAGCCACAGCTGCCCTAGGGCTCACTGACAGAAGCGAGGCTGCCGTACACTGGCGCCACCGGGCCCTCTGACCACCATCAGTAGACAATGCAGGTGAAGTGTCTTGCCCAAGGACACAACGACAATGAAAGTCGGAGTCGGGGCTTGAACCGTCAACCCTTCGATTACAGGGCAAACTCCTACATCCAACGCCACTGCCGCCCACTTAAGTGTAGCATGCGAGCATGATCCTTATGCACGTTTGGTGTATTTTCTTCTTTGCTGCAGGAACAAGTAAGGAACTGAGATATGCATACGTGATGCTGATTAGCTGAGGAGCTGTCGTGTGGGTGGGTATTCAGGATGCCTTCAACTCAGACAGAGGAGAGACAATGGTAAGAAGCCAGTGATTCAATGGCAATGTTTCTAAAGAATAGCTTTTTGAGATAAAAGCTAAATACTGGTGTGATTTGCTCATTATGTGCAGAACGAAGACTTTATATATGTCAGTTAGAGGCAGCAACACCGACTGACAGCTTCTGCCTTCTGCCTTTATCAACACACATTCTTTACTTTCTCATAGTCAGACTGAATTCACTTGCATGGTTTACATTGGGTTAGTTTTTTTATTTCCACCCAACTGGGATTATAGAGTACTGCTGTTTTTTTGTTCTTGTTTTTTTTTCAGGAATACTGCAACCCCTAAGTAGCAATGTATATTTTATTTTTCCAAAATGCTTAAAAGCATTATTTTTTGGCTTTATATTTAGTTTACAGCCAGGTGAAGGTTGTTAACCTGCAAAAGTATAATATTCTGATGCAGGGGTCTTCAACATTTTCCAGGACAAGGACCCCCAAACTGATGGCGAGATGGAGCGGGGACCATGTATTATATCGAACTTGTCAGGAATCCAGTTTGTGTGGTCTGTTTTTGTGTTTCCTTTCCTCCTCCACCAGGTGGTTCCCTGTCCTCATTGGGCCTCCCTGCACACCTGCAGCTCATTGCCTCATTACCTGTGGAGTGCTGTTAAGCTGCTGACTGCCACTACCTCGACGCCAGAGTGTTTGCCAACTTGGAGTACTCTAGCCATGCTTAGTTTAGCAGTCTAACCTGAGTCTTTGTTTTGCCAGTTTTTGGGTACTCTAGCCAAGCTGAGTTTGCAGAGTTTCTTGTTTACCTGAGTGTTAATCTTGCCGTTTTTTGTCTTTGCCTTGTGGCAGGAAGTCATCCTGCAAACTGGATGTTTCGGAACCTTCTCTCCCCTGGAAGGATCTTCTGGGAACCAAACTGAGCTAAGGATTCAAGTTTATAGTTTGGATCAACCTTTTCCCCCAAGGATTGTCTGGGGCTTCTCTCTGAGCAGGGGATTCATCTCCACAATAACCCGTTCAAGGACCACAGGAAATCTAAGTGGCAGTCAGCGTCTCCGTTCACCAAGGAACAACCGCAGTCTGAGTAAACCTCGTCCGCCCACCATCAAACAAGACAATCACTGGAACATCCCACACAGACTGGATTCAATAAAGACATCTTTTTTCTGGAAACGTGAGTCTGCAACCTATTCCTCCTTTTCAAGTCAAAGAATCTAACTTCCCACTGAGCCTGAACTAACCGCAGTGTCTTTCCCTCACGCAAAAGTATTGCGAAATCTGGCCAAAAGCATTGCTGGATCTCGCAAATGTATTGTGGGATCTCGCGAAAGTGTTGCGGGATCTCGCAAAAGTTCTTTTTTTCACCTCCATGTCCCTTTAGGGGCTCCGTACTTTACTGATAATTATGTTGTCTTTTTGACTGATCATTTAACTTATTATTTGGTAAGTTGCATTCAACATTTGGATACTAAGATAGGCTTTAAATTATTTCTACATAGTTACTTTGACTAGTAAATAGTTAACTTAAATTGAGCAGTAACTGAGTAAATAACTTTTTTACTTTTTTGTAGAAGCAATTATTAAGAATAAATAGTTAATTTTCTAAAATAACAATTCCAAGCATTGATTTCCACCACCACATATCACAAAGTCTTAGTAAGACTGGGAATCAACAAGGGTGTGATTTCCTTTTCTATTTGCTGTGTCTTTTCATTTGTCTAACAGAGCTCTGGGTGAAAAAAGAATAAAGACAAAGAAAAGAAGGGTCAGAAGAGAGGAGAAAAAAGTATATTTTTGCAAGCTGTAAATTATTTCTTTTTTAAACGGTGATATTCAGCACGTTGCATCAAAATGGCAAAATCATCAAGAAAGAAAATCTCTGCAGTAGCATCATGTCTTTAATTGACACAGCCACACAGTTTGGAGTGGATATTTATGCATCCCACAGGAGGAAAAGTGCTGATTCAAATGCTGTTAATTTTGAATTATCTGTATTAAAGTTAACCTGAACCTTTAAAAAAAGATACACAAAATACAAAATAATGTATAAAAAAGATAGGACATAGAAGTTAACCATGTTAATTTTCTCCTGGTGTAACTATCCCATGTCAGAGAGCATGGTCTTAGTAGCTTATGGTCTTATGTCAATTGGTCAGCTGGCTTTGGATGCAACAACTGTAACCTCATAAATTATAGAACGACCACAGTTAGCGGAAAATGACCACGAGGCAGACATGAGTGACTAATCAATGTGACGGAAACATATCAATGTTTCCATGTCCCTATCGATCCCAGCTGAGTTCCACCCACACTAGCCCCACGCTGTAGGCCCTGTGCCCTTTTGTTAACGTCAATAACAGACCTTTTTTGCCACTCCAATTGGAGCTGTTTAAAACTAAAAGATCACTGATCTCCAGTGATGGGACTAACGGCGTTGAAACTAACCTTGTTTTAGTAACGAGTAATCTAACTAATTACTTTGACTGTAACTATAACGCAGTTACCATTGCAGACACCCCGTTACTGCGCGTTACTCAGGTCGCACAATGAACCTTTTTTCATGATGGGACTCGTGCGCAGCTGCGTGAAGCTGACACCCCACCCACGTCAAAAAACTCTGCAAATAGACTGAATGGTTAGTGCAACGTTAGTGCAGATTTGTGCAGAAAGAAATATTGTTTGTGCTACTTTTGTTTAAGAGATATTAAAGATTATTTTTTAGGTCATCCAGAGGTGCGCGCCTTGTCATGAGAGAGGGGAGGATGAGATTCCGTCTGTCAGTTGGTAGGTGGGTGTTTCTGCTGGTGGGTGTTAACGTACAGCACACACAGAGAGATGGAGAGTGAGGATGACTGCAGCAGCAAAACAGCGTTTTCCACATGGAAATACCGGTGTTACGTCGAGCTGCGTTTCCCCATCACATAACGGTTTCCTCTGCATCTCCACACAGCGCAGGCGGCACGATTCACCGCGCAAGCGACAGGAAACGCGCATGCTCGCTAAAGGCACGCAACAGTCGCCCTGTGCTCGCGCCACAGGAGAACTATGGAGAGCGTGAACGATCAAATGATTAACCTGACAACAGCCAGAAATGATAGCCTGTATGGAGAAAGGGAGAAATCTGGATGGATGGATGGATGGATACTCTGCCTTCTCAACCTACTGTATTTTTTATTTTAAACATTATTTGATGGCCTTTGTGGCAGGGATGAAGATCCATATTTTATGTCACACACAGAGTATAGATCTGGATAGATAGATGGATAGATGTTGCAGTATCTATAACAACCCAAACACACAGGATTTCAGAATTAGACATCCCCAGTTATTAATTTCATATACTCACCGGATCTGAATGTCCTGTTATAAAACTTCACATGGCGTTCCCCCCTGATGTCATTTACGTTGAGTTGCAATAAATGCTAAACTGTCTGCAGGTTCTTGTCTTTGTCGTCCGCTCTATTCAGCTGGCTTTGGAAACACACGGCGAGAAGGTGGGGGCCGGGTGGTGAGGTTTACGGGGGCGAGAAACGCAAAAGTAACGCAATAGTTACTTTTACTAGTAACTAGTTACTTTTATTGTGGAGTAACTCAGTTAGTAACTCAGTTACTTTTTGGGAGAAGTAACTAGTAACTATAACTAATTACTTTTTCAAAGTAACGTGCCCAACACTGCTGATCTCCTGGAAACTAAATAACTTTGACTTTAGCCTCGAAAACAAACTGCCAAGTATTTCATTTCCTGCTTTCGTAGGAAGCAGGAAAGCAGGA